AATTTTATCTGATAGAAAACTATTTGCTCCGTTCTATGGTGTGCATTAATTTCTCTAAAGTTCGAACCTATAAGTCTTCAAGTTGCTAAAGAGGACTGTCACGTCAAAGAAACTGAGCATTTTCGGCACTCTCTCTTTTTTCTTTTAGTTAAAATCTGAACTCGCCGGCCCATTCGATAAGTATATAACCAAGAACCGGAATTTTTCTCATTCCTGAGAGCCACTATACCTTGGTCATCACAAGTGTTGAGCTGCTTCTGCAATTCGAGAGCCAAAATTAAGCGCCTGTCAATATCTCTCAGTATTATCTACCCGACACTACATTTTGATGGACTGAAAATTGACAAAGATAAAAAAGAATAGGTAGTCGAGCACGCTGTGTTGTGATGCAGAAAGATTTCCATCGAAAGGCATAGAAGATATTTGAAAAGCTCCAGAACTTGACGTAAAATTTTGTGCAACTAAAAGAACGCCGTCGCTTATGAGCCAACACAACATTTGACTTGTTGGGAGGAGTACGGGCTGGCACATGTGAAATTTTCGGACTAGTGGTGTCGATGATAACCGGAGAGAGGGAGATGGAGCTAGGGGGGGGGTCGTGTAGAGCAAGTTCGGTATTGGTAGGGCGTAGTGTGGAAAATGTGTCATCATTGATCCCGATTTCCACGCTGTCCATGCTGTTCTGAAACACTTCCCACAAAAAAAGCGCTTTTTCGCTCAAGGTACCCAACTTCCAATTGCAATCCCTGCAGATCTAACAGAACCCACAATGAGAAAAGTTAAGGATTTCCGTTCAGAAAAACCTTCGTAGTCAGCGGAAGATTTAACAATGAATTGATTCATAACTCTCTTCCAAGAGGTTGTCTTCTCTTTGTTTTGCAACCTTTTGGGTCAAATACTTATTTCCTATTCACTACTTCAAGAAACGATGTTATGCACGACGAAATTGTTTGAAAAGTTCACGTTACTTCCTTCTTTCCAAAAACTGTACCGACTTTTGTGTCCCAAGAATTACCTGTTTTTTTTCGCTCTGTTACTGTGCCATTCAGCGCAGAGCTCCATCAGAATTGTACTCCTTATC